ATTGATGACACCAGATCTGGACTCCCATTATTCTCCAGGAGTCCAGAACAAGGCTGAATCAATCTGTCAGCCTTCATCTGAAAGATGATACAGGAAAATTTAATTTAAATGAAACAAATAGACCTAAAATTTCGTGAAGCCAGTCATTCTCCTGCATTCAAACACAAACACACATTTTCAGACACACCCAACATAGTCAATAAATAAATATTCTACAAGCTCATTTCATTGAGAGCTTTGACACAAGTTGTACTTTGTGTTAACTCCACATGCTACAACGGCTCTAACTTTCCTCTTCCAGCTTTTTCTCTATGGGCTCTATGAGTTCTTCTAATGTTGTTTAAATTTTTTAAGGCTCCCCCTAAGTTTCCTTTTTTTCCTTTTAGTTCCCATATGTCAATCATTAATAAGCCCAACTCTGCTCCAGTGCTAAAGCTTTAAAAAATATATACTAGTCAAGTTTTTAAAGAGGAACAACATGTCAAGACTCTGTTTAGTAGTTTTTCATTTCTTGTGCCAATTCATATCTCTCACCCAGGATACGTCGTCAGAATTTGGTGGATTTTGATCAAGACCGACTGTGTCCATGATCTGGTTTTATAAAAGTGGGATGTTTACTCATGGCAGCACAAATGGACCAAAACGGAGAGGGAATCCTCCTCTGCAACACTGCACTGGTACTCATTATAAATGGATTTAAATCTGCATCTTTAAAAAAAAACATTATGTGGTGAACTGCACACAGATGTGGACTCCAGCTCTATCAACTGTTAAGTTTGAAACAGGTTAAAAGGGGACTGAGTAATATTTAAAACTATATTTAAATGTAAAAAAACAAGCTTTGCTTTGGCATTACTTGCACTTAATAAAGTTTAGTAACTTTGGGTTTCCACAAGGCCTGCTGGATGAAATTACTTTGCAACAAAAAATATTTGTGTTCATAAGATGTGATGTGATGTGATGGAATGAACTTTGAGGAAAAGATCATGTCTTTGATTTCTTTGAACACGTCTTTCCACTAAAACAGTTGACTAAAGCTGTCATTTTGTGGTTATATTGCTTATCTTCCAGGTTTTTTTTTTTTTCATAAACACAGATGAACACAGAAAAATAATACTCAAAATACCACTGATGGAATAACAGTATAAAGATAAAGCTTAAAGGGAGAGAGGGACTTCTCCTGTGTTCAAGTAGGCCACTGTTGACAGTTATGAAGGCACAACAAATGGCTTTTAAAACACAAAGGGAATGAAAAAAAAATCTAACACAGTATCAGGAAATTATTGCTTCAACCTTTGTTCACCGAAAGATGGAAACGTGGTGTCATATTGTAGATGTAATAGGCAGAGGTTGACAAGTGGTCTCTTAGGATGGATTTCATCTTTACTCACCTTCACAGGAGAAGAAACAATAACAGTGCATAACACACATCCACTTGTTTTATATTTGCTTATTCTGGGCATGGAGCTCCTTGTTACATTGGTGTCCTGCAAAAAAGCAAAGACTCTTGGTGTCACCTTTGACCAGGATGTGCCAATTAAATATATCAAGTCAGTTTCCGGGAGTTCGTCTCTGAGTCCCTGACTCTGAGTGATGCACACAAAAAAACCCATTTATGTATTTTATTTCAGAGCTTGACTTGAAATAACAATGGTTTAACAGAGCACAAACTGTACTGTAATGTGTCTGTATTCAGTTTAACAAATATTGTGTTAAATCATTTTCTGAACCAGAGCTTATTGAAGTTTTTAAATAAAAATAAAGAGAAATTGCCCTTAATCAAGTCAAAATCATAATTACTTTATATTTATTCAACTGTTATGCTGTTTTCAGAGAAGTTCCACTTTTATTCAGGGTTATTATGTCCAGACAAAAAAAAAAAAAAAAAAAAAAAAAAAAAACAGAAATAATTCTAAAACTATACCTAATTTGCAAGCATCTAAATTTACGTAACTAAACTTTTTTGTAACAGAAATATTATAACTTTTTTTTAGTAAATCATAGACGTTATTACACTTTTGCTGCTTTAAAATGCGTATTCTAGTTAATTTCACATCTATTTTTGCTTGCACACTCTCTCTTTCCCATAATAGAGTGCTTTTTCCCTTGTGTGGTCTGGTGTCAAGCTTCGGTACCTTTCTTTTGAATGTTGTTGCTATTGCTGCTTCACAGATCAATGGCCAGAGACTAGAGTGGCAACAGAGGCGTCTCCTCTCCTAGATTTCCTGATGATGGTTATTGAAAGGGGGATTTTCTGCCTGTCTAGAACAGTGAGACATCTGGGTATATAAATTTCTACTGTTATGAATGGAGTGAAATTGAACCCACTGGACCAGGATTTAATGCTTGTGGCCTGAAAGCCATTGTTAGCAATAACTTATATAAATGCTTACAAATTAATAAAAAGACTAATAACCTTCTTCAAATATCAATTGATTATTGACAAAGCTAATAATCCATGTACACACAAACAATACCATTTGACATGACTTTAGGCAATTATAGTAAATTATTTGAAAAAAGTTTAAGCTTTTGGACTTGTGGATTTTTATTCCATTTTGACATGCTCTGTTCTGCAGTTTAATAAAAGATCATCTAGTATGGATTGAATTGTGTTCAATTACTGTTGCAAACAATACATTATTTGTTTATATATATATATATATATATTGTTATTAAAAGCTTGAATTAAGTTTAATGCTGTATGAAAAGGCAATCCAGATATGAAACTTTGAGAAACCTTTATAATAGAAACAGATGTCAACAAGGGGGGTGAGGTTGCTTGAGAACCTAAATCCAGAGATGAGTGTTTGTTGGTTTAATGCAAACTGAGGCAAACATCCAAAAAACAAAAAATACCTTGAAACAAAAAAACCCCGCAAAAATCATGGAATACTCACGTGGAAAGCCAGAGACAAGGATTTTCATTGTTTCCACAATGTAATTCATGGGATAATAGCAAAATGTCTTCACTGCTCACTACTGAGGAAAACATGCACAAAAATTGAAAAGGTTGTGATCTGTGAAGCTCAGTTTGAAACAAATGTAATTTGTAATAGATATATGAAACACAAAAAGAAAACAGACATATATAAATATAGGCTAATCTGTAAAAATAAAATTGGGATAACAAATTACAAAACTAAAATCTGGAAAAAAGTTCCTTTAAAAAGCTTTTTTATATGGAAAAGTTTAATTTGTGTTTAATATTTTTTTCTTTTTCTAATTTTAACTTACAAAATGTGTCATCTTGCCTGCACAAATAAAAGAAAACAACGGAACCAAATTCACTTCATAGTATTGTTAAGGAACAATAGTGACCTGATAAATTGGTCATTAATGCATGGCGGGAGGAAAGGCTAAATTCAACAAATGCAATATTGTCGAGGACCTTATAGTTTATTATGGTGCTGCATGGCTGATGACATATAAAAAATTTGTTCCTCTGACTCTATCAAAGCCCAAAACATGGCGTATCAGAGGTGGGTCGTAAAACAATATAGGAATGTAGCTTATCTGATGATACTCAATTTCTTAAACAAAAACAACATTGCAAACAAAAAGCTGGTAAAGGCAGTGTAAACCTTTAGGTGATGATCTGCCGAGGAACCTTTGATCCAGGATATTACTTTGATACATATCTTGTATATAGAAACTGTCAAAAACAAGCAGACGCTTTACAGGAAATTGTATGCTCTGACTGCTGTGGTGACTTTTATCTGAATAATGCCGTCTGCCATCAAATAAAATGGTTCTGAAATGGTTTGACCAAGACACAATCACTTTTGATTTGACCTCAAATTCCTCACATCTCAGTCAAATCAAATATCTTTAAAATGTGCTGGACAAAAAGACGGTTTGAGGGAGGCTGATAGACACCCCCACATTTCACCTTAGTAGAAAACTGCTGAAACTAGGTCCCAGAAATGACAACAACACTTATAGGATAGGAGGGTCTTTAGCTTGAAGGATCAGAGATTATTTGGTTCTAAAACAGGCACATCACACTGTTAGATTCTTGATAACAATCATTTTAGATCTACATTTCTTATTAAAAATGGTCACAATCTACATTTGAAGCAATGCCTTTCTAGATGAACAATTGTGATCCTTCAGAAAATGATTTATTTCGTTCTTCGCAAAGAAAATAACGTTTTCAAATTTACAGACTGCTTAATGTATTTAATATTTGAGCAGAAAGTCCAACTGAGATTAAAATCTGTTATACCAACAAGACCTTACCAAGGTAGCATCTATAGAAATGATAATATAACACAAAGATAATGCTAAATAGACACAAAAGTACAAATTATTATTAGTCTAATTAAAACTAAGTGAACTCTCACACTTGTCATGATGACCTTGAAATAATCATGGATATAGATTTTTATAATTGAAACACATTTATGAAGCTCAAAGACCACACATAAATAATATTAAACCATTTGAGAGAGATTGTTGACCCATGGGAACACTATAGCAAATACTTTACGTAGTAAAGCAGAGAGGACAGTGATCATTATACATCAATATATGTAGATATAGTGTAGGGTATATCTAGTCTAGGTTGGACCAGTGTACATGCAGCACCTTTAGAAATGGAGCAAATTTTAAATGAATGTTAAAAATGAGTAAGTAAATAAATAATAAAAAAAAATCTCTCATAAAAGGGAACTGATGTTTCACATAATACAAACTGTGCTTTTAATCGGTCTGTATTTAGGGGAACAAATGTATTTTCGTTAAATAATATTCTGAACTAGAGCTTATTGAAGTTTTGAAATTAAAAATAAAGTGAAATAGACCTTAATCGAGTTTAAATCTGAATTAACTGATTATGATCCGTGTAACTCAATGTCAGACAAACTATACTTTCATGTCCAGCCAAACGAACAATAAATAAATAAAACAATATATTTATAAGGTTATTCTTTTCCTCAAAACAAACACAGGAAACGTAAACGTATTTCCCTGCGTTTTACGACAAAGATAACGCTTTGCGGCGCTTTACGGCAGGCATGCTTGTTGTTAGCTGAAAGGAAGCTAGTCGTGCCAAAATTCGCTCTTAGCCACAGCAGAACTGCGATACAAGCGTTTAACCAGCGGAAATGGATGTCGGAGAACTCTTAAACTATCAGGTACTTGTTCTTATTTCACAGTTAATGTAGGTTTGCTTTGTTCACGTATCCCTTCCTTGCAAGCAACAGTCTGCTCCAAGTTCCAAATCATAGAGAAGACTCTTATTTTGAATCACTGGTTACATCTTTCTGCTTTATTTATCATTATAGAAATGTGTCACCGTTAATTAAGTTGACTCGTCGTGTGCGCGTTAGGGTACTATTCAGGGATAAAACGGCGTAAAATATGAATACATTCACTACTTGTTCCATTTACCTGCTTTATTCTAATTATAGCGTCGGCAAATGTACAGCATTGTATAAAGTGTCAAACCACCAGTATTATCTTTTCTACAACAGCCATTTGCCTCTTTAATAGTGTTGTAGTCTCTTTAAAGAAGCAGCCTCTTTGTGCAGCTGTGCTTTGGTAGTCTTATTGTTACTGATTCATAGGTTAGAATCTGTTGGCTAAACAAATGAAGAAATGCCTTCTGTACCTGAGTAAATGAGTAGAAAAACCAAAGTTTGAGAATCTGTAGCAATAAACATTGATCAGTACAATTTTGTACTCTGTGTGTAATAATACAGAAGTTTCTGACTGATCCCCAATGAATGAAATTGAGTCTTTAATCAATGTTTTGAGGTATTATACATAGTGTTGCACCGATACCAGTATCAGTATCGATCCAGCATTAAAATGGTGGTATCGGTATCGGCCGATACTGCACAGCCAGGTATCGGGGCCAAAAAATGGCATCAGCACAACACTAATTATACATTTGAATGTCATGTTTTTTTCTATGATTGTTCACCCTTTTGTAGTCTGATGTGAAGTAAAGTTGGTTTAAAGAAGTAGGGTTATTTAAGTGTGGGTTGGGGTAACAAGTAGTGAGAACTGCAGAGAGGTTTATCAGGGCTCCCCTTCCCTCCATAATAGACATTTCATCTCAGTGCTGTGTGTCCTGAGCCCGTAACTTTATCAATGACCTCTCACACCCCCACCATGGACTGTTCTCCCTGCTGCCTTCACGGAAGAGGCTTCGCAGCATCCGATGCAGGTCCAGCAGATTCCAACAGGTTCTTCCTCACTGCCATCAGACAGCTGAATGTTGAAAAAACTCTAAATCATGTCACAGACTCTCACCGACCATATCAATGTGTTTTTTTGCACCATGTTTCTTTTCTCACTCTTAATGTTTACTTTTGATCACTGCAGCACTTTAAGAAATGTAAATGTCATTAGAGCTGCGCATAATGAAATTTATTTTAAATGACAATAAAAGTTGTCTAAGTTTCTAAGTCCAAGTCTCTAATTAAATTTTTTTCTTCACATTTAGCCTGACAGAGGAGCCAAGCGTCTGAGGGCAGACGATGGAGGAGCTGCAGGAGGAGAAGAAAACTCCAGAGGAGGGAAGCAGCAGAGAGGTTTGGGAGCCAGGGAGGCCAGCAGATACAGAGAAATGGATGGAGGTGTTGAAATGAAGGAAACGGAAGAGCCAACCGGAGACAAAAACATGATTTTAGAAAAACTGATGGACCAGGATGGGGAAGAACCTGAGGTGAGGAAAATTATTATGCAATTATTAGAGCTTTTACATAAAGGTTTAGTGTAGTGTAGTGGTCTGGGTGGAGCATCAAAATAAGTGGTCCTCCTAATTGTGAATCATTCTGCTGATATGTTTACATAAGGCTATGTGCTCGTCCCCATTTTCACTTACCGGTGGCAAGCTGACATAATGGAAAAATTGGAAATCTTTTTTAGGAAAGTAAGCTTGTATGAGTGATGCAAACAGCAACTTTTAAACAAACTTGTAACAAGTTTTAATTGGCAATCCCTCTCGGGAGCGGTTACAGGGTTGTTGTTTTGTTTTTTTTTTCAGTGGAGATGATGGGTCTTTTCAAAAATTCAAGAAAATCCTCCACTATACCTTTAACATAAAAATTGATATGGAGTTTACACTTTGTTTTTCTTTTTGGAATTATTAGTTGCCTTCCCTGAATGTAAGAATTTTATGAATGTTATTAAAACTTGATGATTGTTAAGTAATGCTGTGTTTACACAGCAGGTATAGACAGTAATAGCAAATTTCAGTGTCTGCGTTGTTGTTATTAAACCGTTAAGTGATGGGAGCTGATAGCATCCTGACCACATCATTAACTAAGAAGGAAGGTTAGAAAACAACAGCATGTTTAATTGAAGCTGTTTCAAAACAATCAATGTCCTAAAAATTATGGATAAGTTGGATAAAATTTGGCATGACTGCTCAGTATGCAGACTATTTGAAAACGAAGCGATACATGTTCAGATTTAGGACCACAACCATTAATGGCTCAAGTCAGATTTTCTTGGGAGGCTTCATAGATCGGTATTGGTATGTTCAAAGGTTTAATGGTATGTAAGAATTTTCCAACTGATTTTTGTCAGTCCAACAAATGGCGATATATTGGTGTAGATGACTGTGGCAAAAACAAGCGCCTCTTCAGAGCATGTTTGCTGCACCGCTGATAATATTGTTAACTAGCTGCGCACACTACTAAAACCGAATAAGGTTAGCTTATATATGCTTGTTTACTTGTCAAGTGGGAATAGTTTCCTCCTATCCAGTTGTTCTGACATTATACACTGCCTGGCCAAAAAAAAGTCGCCACCAAAAAAAAAGGGTCACTGACTCTAATACTTTATTGGACCGCCTTTAGCTTTGATTACGGCACACATTCGCTGTGGCATTGTTTCGATAAGCTTCTGCAATGTCCAAAGATTTATTTCCATCAAGTGTTGCACTAATTTTAAAAAATGATGTGTCATGCTCCCTGAACCAGTCTCTAACAATTTGAGCCCGATGAATCCTGGCATTGTCATCTTGGAATATGCCTGTGCCATCAGGGAAGAAAAAGTCCATTGATGGAATAACCTGGTCATTCAGTATATTCAGGTAGTCAGCTGACCTCATTCTTTGAGCACATACCTAGACCTGACCAACCGCAGCAACCCCAGATCATAACACCGCCCCCACAGGCTTGTACAGTATGCACTAGGCATGGTGGGTGCATCACTTCACCTGCCTCTCTTCTTACCCTGATTCGCCCATCACTCTGGAACAGGGTAAATCTGGACTCATCAGACCACATGCCCTTCTTCCATTGCTCCACAGTCCAATCTTTATGCTCCCTAGCAAATTGAAGCCTTTTTTTCCGGTTAGCTGATTAGTGATTAGTGGTTTTCTTACGGCTACACAGCTGTTCAGTCCCAATCCCTTGAGTTCCCTTCGCATTGTGCGTGTTGAAATGCTCTTACTTTCAGTATTAAACATAGCCCTGAGTTCTACTGTTGTTTTTCTTCGATTTGATCTCACCACACGTTTAAGTGATCGCCGATCACGATCATTCAGGATTTCTTTCCTGCCACATTTTTTCCTTGAGAATGATGGGTCCCCACTAGGGCTGCAACTAGGGCTGGGCGATATAGAAAAAAAGCTTATCGATTAAAAAAAAATGCATATTGATCGATATCGATAATTATTGAAAAGATTTGAAACCATATTTTATGTGCAGCTCTGCCTGGACTTTTTATAATATTGCTAAATGGTTTAATTTTAATAAAAAACACAAACACAGACTTCGAATTAAATCTTTATTTAACC